AGGAAGGAAGGAAGGAAGGAAGGAAGGAAGGAAGGAAGGAAGGAAGGCTGGCTGGCTGCAGCTGATGGTAAGAGTTCCAGCTGGTGCGAACATTCTGAGCGTTGGTTCTCTCTTGCAATCTCAAGAATCCTTAATAACCAAATGATCTGTTTTCTGCCACCAAGGATCCAGTTACTATCAGGCTTATCTCTCACTGGTTTTCTTTATCATTTTCCAATACATCTTTACCCAACAGAGATTTTTTTTCTCTGTCTCTCTTAAGTATTGTTACAAAAATTTGTAGTCCTGCCTATTGGACAAATAGGAGGAGTAGCCCAGTTTCCAATATATCTTCCTTTTTAGAAAATGGCACTCTGTTATAAGCCCCAGGTTGCCTTTTCCTCCTATTCAGATTTTAAAGAAAATACCCTATTGCAATTAGTAGTGACTAATATTTAAACCTCAATTTTTATCCTGTTCTCTCATTTCCATGTACATATCTTTTCTTCGCTGTGTGATAGATTGTAAACATCTGTTTAGATCAGATTTAGAATTTTCATGGACTATGATAAACTATTTCTGGTTGGATCCTAATAAATACTATGCTTGCTCCACTTCAGAAACTGCTATTGCATTAAAAAAAAACAGGTTCCTATGACAAATGTATCCATATGCCTGTTGTCTGGAAGGGAGATTAATTTTAATACATTGGCATGTTTATAATGGACTTTCCTATTTGGAATCTGAACTTTTTTGTTGGAATGGTTTTATAAATATTGGAGGGTTAAAATGTCAAAAGAATTTTCTATTAAAATTATATCATGCTGAAGTTTATGCTACGTTCTAACAAAGGATAAATTTTAATGACAGGGCTTATTTGTGTTTTTTCAGCTGATTTCATGCCAATTTTGGGAACAAACCTAAACCCTGAGTTCATTTCTGTGTGTAACAATGCCACATGGGCAATTGGAGAAATTTCTATTCAGATGGGTGAGATTGGCTTTTTTTTTTTAATGCTAGTTTGAATGTTCAATTGTGTAGATTTTTTTTGGTCTTATAGCCACTTATAAACTCTGTCAGCTGTGTTAAAGTGCCTATAATGAAAAGTGATTTTTAATACATTGCTTGTGTGTTTTTTTCTAGGTATAGAGATGCAGCCTTATGTCCCTATGGTTTTGCACCAGCTTGTAGAAATCATTAACAGACCCAACACACCAAAGACTTTGTTAGAAAACACAGGTACCCTACAACTGATCTGTTTGCAGTGACTTTTAAAATGTATTACACAAAATTGTAGGAAAACTTGATCAGTATTAAAAATAAGATGAATTTTAGATGCTTGTTCAATCCAGTTGGTTTAATAACAGGTAGTCCTCAATTTACAGCTATTTGAAGTTCTAATGGCACTGAAAAAAGTTACTTATGACCTTTTTTCACACTTAGGACCACTGCAGTATCCCCATGGTCACATGATCAGAATTTGGTGGCTTGGCCACTGGCTTGTGTTTATTATGCAGTGTCCCAAGATGATGTGATCATCTTTTGCAATCTTCTGACAAACAAAGTCAATGAGGAAGCCAGATTAACATAACCCTGTTACTAAGTTAACATCTGTAGCGATTCACTTAAAAATTGTGGCAAGAAAGAACATAAAATGGGCAAAATTCACTTAATAATTTTGCTCCTGAGCAATGGAAATTTTGGGCTCAATTATGGTTGTAAGTTGACAACTACCTATAAACAGCTCCTGCCAAACTAATTAATTAGCTTCAGTTACCTTTACTTCTCTGATGTTGTGATTCTATCATTGAGCAAATTAAATATTCTGAAGCTGTGTTGGTAGGGGAGGGATCTTCCATTAATGAACAATTTTTTCAAGAGTGCTGCCAAAAGAGTAGTAGTTTGTGGCAAATTTGGAGCTAAGGTGATTAATTCCCTACAATTTAGACTAATTGTTTTGTGTTAAGGAAGAGCAAATTGTTTTTTCTTCGTCTTGCTGCCATGAAATTATCAATGTTTTTCCCAAAAAATTCTAGTGGGGTTGTTTTGTATCAGTACATAAGACTTCAAAATTTTAGCTACATTATTAAATTTTGGTTATATTTATAGTTAAAATAATCCAGTTGACTTCTTTTTATATGAAATAAATTATCAGTTCTTTGCATGTAGCTTACTTGAAGTCTTCATAATTATAATGGACAACATGATGAAACCAAACAGATTTTTAAGTGGCTGGACATTATACATTGTGTAAACATATACAATTTGGTTGATGTATATAATGGTATTAGAATTGAAGGAGGCTTTATAATGGAATTGAATCTTGTCCTATACCCTGTGGAACATGTTAACAAATTTTCCAGTATTCTATAAATTTCTGGTTACCTTTCTAGCTAGCTATCTGCATTGTAGTGTGATAGCTAGACTGCAAATATTTGTTTATTTTTATTAGTTTTTCCCTCACTTTTTAAATAATTAACTCAAGGTGGCAAGCATATATAATACACCTTCCTTCTCCTAGCTTCCCTGCAACATAACCCTGAGAATGAGTGGCCTAAAGCTGGCTTTCATGGCTAAATCAGGACCAAATGAAACTGGCACTCTGAATGTGTATTTAAAATCATAGTCTGTTATAGAAATGACTGGTTATCTGAGTTTCAGTTTAAACCAATTTTGGCTTATTTTTAAGGATGTAGGTCAAGTTTCATTCTATGCATGTTTGTTAAAATGCAGTATAGCAGTACATTTATTTCTGTAATGGAAATGAATTATACCTGTGATTTGGCACTGCACCAGCGTTTCAGTATTCAGGAAGAGTTTGTCAATAAGAAGAGGTTTCTCTATGCATAAATTCTAGAAAACCAGTTTCCTGAAAATTACAACTTAAATTTTGTAAAATGGATACCCCAGACATACTATATACTACAAATAAATGTTGAATGTATTGCACATTAGATTTGTTGTGGGATATTCTGCTAAAATAATTTAATACCTGAAATCACAATTAGAATTCATAGGCTTAATTATTCTGGCACAATACAGTATTATGCAAAGTAAAATACCTGCTAAACATAAGTGGTACATACTTCTTCTCAGCCAATATATAAATTTTGACCAATGTTACTGTAAAGAAGTTTATCCAGTTTGGGTTTTTGAACAAAAAAGCAATTTGAATACTAATACCAAGTTTTCATGAACAGCATGATTTAAAAATAAACAAAGCAGAATATTTAATTTTATCCATATGGCCTTATAGGAAAATTCTTTTTTTTTATAATGTTGGTATATCCTACACCAAACCTTATAGTGAAAAAGAGCATCATCAGCTTTACTGCATGTGTTCATGAGATTTGTTCACACAAATGCCTGTTTTGGAGTGTTGCATAATGTCTTTTAAGCATAGGCTACTCTGCTTCATACAAATCTGCTGGATTTTAGTATTCATGTAGTTTGCTTCAAATAATCCTTAAACATACCCACACTTTCCCTTTTCTGAAGAATTGCTCTGTGAGCTGAGAGAACACCATTAAAAATGTTTATGGCCACTTTCAAGACAAATTTTCAGACTGAAGACAGGAAAATGTTCAGATAAAGCAGGTTTCTTTTATTATAGTTTGTCGTATCTTTAGCTTTGAAACACTTCACAAAGATAAATAATGTAATATTTACATTATTATTATTTAATATTTACAATAACCCAATAAAGCAAATTTTATTGTGAGTAGCTATGTTCCTATTATCCTCTTTCTTATTAAATTTAGTTTTATATAATAAAAATAGCCTTAGGAAATTACTAATAACTTTAGATATAATTCTGTTTGGATTTTCAAATGAATATTTATCACATTAAATGTTAATTTTAAATATTACACAAAAATATTCATTAATGTTAAGAAATATGTTTCAAATTCCCTAAATAAAAATAGCTGTTGTAATTAAACAGTATTAAGATATTGAGTGAAACTATTCATTTAATTTTAATCATAATTTTGGTGTTCTCTCATTCACTTTATTCCTTTTTCCTTTATTTCCCTGCCCTCCGCCAAATAGTATGCCACATATTGCTGCCCTTATTTTTAGGGGTGGTAATGAACAGCACTGGTGAAATCTTATGTTTATTATCATACACAGGTTCTGTTGGTTTCTGTTTCTGAGTTATTTGTTGTTTTTTCTTTATTTTTCTCCTTCCCCCCTCATTTGCTCATGTCTTGGTTGGCGTTTGGTGGTGTATAACCGTGATTGCGTTACCTTAGCAATAACAATTGGTCGTCTTGGTTACGTTTGTCCTCAAGAGGTGGCCCCCATGCTACAGCAGTTTATAAGACCCTGGTGTGTATTATTCAATCTTTTTTTAATTCATTTTTCTTCACTTTCTTCTTTCTTCCTTCCTTTCCTCTATTCTCACTTCTAGATGTATTTTTCAGTTGGTTACAAATATCACTGTTCTTAATCATTGCCAACCATGTGACTAATCTTGTCCTATCAGGTTTGTGAGGTTTTTTAGCAGTACTTTTGTGTATATATTTCATGTTGTGGCTAACAACTAATTGATGCATGGGATAAGATTGTCACATGCTTGATGTGTCAAAGCTTGACAATTAAAAGCATTTAAATCCACCAGAATGATAATATGCATGCAAATAGCATAAAACATGAAACACCGCATTACATTACTTCAAAACATTTGCAATTTGACTTGCTGTTTGAAATACATGTTTCTAGATTTGTACCAAATTGCTTGCTTGCTGCTGTAACAAGTTAAAGATGTTATGTTATGATACATCATAAATTTTATATTGTTGCAGTATATACTGCTTTTACCGATGGACACTTCTATATATAAATATATATGTGTGTGTGTTCATATTAACAGAAGTATTTAATGGAATACAGGTCACATTCAATATCAGCTGTGGAACATAGAAAAGTAGCTGATTTAATATTGACCACCCTTGGAGAATTAAATAGGGCTTAATATACAAAAAATAATGTAGAATGTATGTAAGATTAATGATGTTTGTGTGGCTTAGTCTTTAAGGTCTTCTAGCTGTGACACTTATTCCATCAAATACTATTAAAATTAAAATTAAAAACAAAAAATCTAAAACTTAGGTTCTTTATTGTATTAGGTGCACCTCTTTACGAAACATAAGGGACAATGAGGAAAAGGATTCAGCATTCCGTGGAATTTGTACCATGATTACCGTCAACCCTAGTGGAGTAGTCCAAGTAAGTCTTGCGTTGGTCTTGGGCAGGGGAAGGGAAATTAATTTAATTTAAATGTTTGAATGATCAAATACGATTGATTAACAAAGAAATAAATATATACGAATTGACTTAAGGTTTTGAAAGGGGAATGTACTAAGTATATAAGATACCAATATGAAAGATAATTGCAATTTGTTAGGAATTTATTTCTGATATTTGACATTGTGGGGCAGAAAAGTATAGTCTTATTTTTGAAATAATTTATTGCATTTCTGTTAATGAACATTTCTAATTTACAATTTCTATAAACTTTTGCAGGACTTTATATTTTTTTGTGATGCTGTTGCATCATGGATTAGCCCAAAAGATGATCTCCGAGACATGTTCTGTAAGGTAATAATTTTTTTAAAAACAGTATATTATTATTATTATTATTTAAATGTGAGGTAAAGAGAGCTTTGTATGGTGCCAAACCACTTTATTTTGGTAATGTGCAAATACTGTTCATCATTTCTAATGTGGATCTGTAATTAAAGATGATTCCATTTTTCTTCCTGCTGTTGCTAAAAGATTTCTTCAGTTAGCTTGCTTTTCCCCTTGCACCAGTAGGCAGGACCAAAGGATGTTTCTTTTGTAGCTCTAGGTGGCAACAAACAATACTTCCCACTAGGTCCTTGGTGCTAACTGTTTCGGTAAGAGCTTTTGGATAAAGTTTGCTATTTACTTTTTGTCCCCATTCCTCTTCATTTTTCCCCTTACAACTTGTCTTTTCCTTTCCTTTCTTCTTTCTAAGGGACTGTCATGGCTTATGATGGTCCAGATAGTCCATCCTTTACATGCAACGATAACTAGGAGCAGCTTCCAAATGGCTACAGCAGTCTGTAAAAATACTTGGGTGCTTTAAAATGTATCATCCCTTTCAAAGGATTAACAAGACACTAATATTTGAGCACTTCTGCCTTTATTCCATAACTAATTAAATATTTATTTTGCAAATATCACTTTGAAAAAAAGTTAACTTTAATTTTCAGATCCTTCACGGATTTAAAAATCAAGTGGGAGATGAAAATTGGAGGCGTTTCTCTGACCAGTTTCCTGTTCCTCTAAAAGAGCGCCTTGCAGCTTACTATGGGGTTTAATCTCATGTCTTCAAGCTGCAGTACCATAATTAGAGGTAAATCATTTATTTTTCAACTATCTGTGAGCTTCCTGTAGGTTTTTTCCAATACATGAGTTGTTTTGTTGTCTTTTTAGTGGGCACTCTATTTAACTACAGGTAGTCTTCAACTTACAACTGTTTGTTTAATGATGGTTTGAAATAATGGTGCCCTGGGAAATAATATTTTATGGCCTAGCAGTTCGAAAGCATGTAAAAATGCAAGTAGAAAAATAGGGACCACTTTGGTGGGAAGGTAACAACGTTCTGTGTGCCTTCGGCATTTAGTCATGCCAGCCACATGACCACGGAGACATCTTTGGACAGCGCTGGCTCTTCGGCTTTGTAACAGAGATGAGCACCGCCCTCTAAAGCCAGAAACGTCTAGCACGTAGGTACGAGGGGAACCTTTATCTTTTAAAGCACTTTTAACTGTCATAAAACATTGCCACCTGTGGTCATTTATTTGTGATTTGGGTTTTTGACAACCATTTGTATTTATGACCTGTTGCCAAGTCCCCTGCAAACAGGATCACCATTTGCAATCTTCACTATCAGCCTCCTTAAAAAGCCAGTGAGTGAGCTGGCAGGAAATGTTGCAAACTGCTGCCACCTGCCAAGAGGACTCCTACTCGTGTCTAGTTGTGGCTGAAAGAGTTCCCTGTTAAAATCTTAAGTAGGCACACAGAATAGAAATCCTTTGGCACACAGCTCTTTCAGCCAGCCCCAAGAGGTGAGAGAGGGTTGAAACACAAATAAGATTTTCAGCCTCCTGAATGTAGATGCACACAGTAAAGGAAAGTGTGCAGGATGCTTCAGGGCACCCAGGCACAAACTGCACATAATTGTTGTTCAACGCAGGGGCTGAAAATCGTACTTGGATTTTCATCTCCTAGCAGAGGGGCAGTGCAGTAAGGTCCAGAATTCAGGGTGTCTCAGAGGTGGGGTGGGGGCCCTGGTGGCCTACAGCAGACCACACATAAGTATATTTCTGCTCAGGGGCTGAATATGTGCTTGGATTTTGGCAGAGAAGATTTTCAGTTCCTGAGCAGAAAGACATTCATGCAACCTGTGCTAGGTCACCAGGGCCTCTCTCACTCCACTGGGGCATCCCACAGTCCTTACCCATCTGCTTAACAACTACAAGATCGTTTAACAACCAAAACTGGAAGTGTCAGGGTAACAGTTGTTGAGTGAAACAGTCATGTGATGTTTTGCTTAACAACCGCTTCACTCAGTGACCAAGATTTCAATCCTAATTATGGTTGTAAGTCAAGGACTTACCTGTATGGATTTTCTACTACTGTTATGACCCAGCCTTAGCAGAAACAAGAAACTGTCACAAAAAAACCTTGATTGCTGCTTGATTTACCTCTTGTGAATTAATTGCATTCACCCACGAAAAATCCTTCAAGGAGTTAACTGCAGTATAGATAGACCTTATCAGTTCCTTGAGATAATTGTAAGGCTGCGAATTCCAGCCAAAAGGCTGCAAATTAAGTTTTTGCAAGCGGTCTTTGTGGCAGGAAACACCATGAGCAAAATCTTCAAAAATACCACTGTTGTGTCCTATGACAACCACTCCCCTTTCCTTCTATTTATTCATCAGCCCCCCTCCCCATTCAGCGTCCACGTGTGCTTTGCTTCCTGAGTCGACTCCTTGTCCTCAGTTGCTCACCTCTTTTAACTGCTCTGTACATATGTGCATCTGGAACAGGTCCCAGCTGTTCTTCCTCCCCACTCAAATCAGCCTCCAAAGGCAGCTGCTTCTCCGGTAGCTAGGAAATGTCGGACAGCCCTGGCTCAATCTCTGTCTGACACAGAGCATCCTTCAGAACCTTCCCCAGACTCCAGCACTGGCCAAGTTCCTCCCCAACCTCATTATCCAAGTCTGCCGCCAGCTCTGCTGGCAGTGGTGGGCCACAAAACAACTACAAGTGAAGACTAGTTTCTTCAGCAATTCCACAGAGTCAGTGGAACATCCTCATTTAGTTACTTAAACAACCTGATAAAATTTTAAACTAGTTTTAATAGATTCAAATCACTACATGTACCTAATGCGCTATACAGTAGGCCTTGGTATGGTGTAATGCAATGATTTGTTTCACACAGCATGCTGAATCAACATTAGATTTTCACAATATTCAAAAACACAAGCTAAGTAATCACATTTTAGCTTAGTCTGTTGTTCCAATCCAGTCCTTTCTGTTCATGGAACTTTGCCAGAGCCTATTAAATTTAGCGAAATGGCTTCTGGTTCTCCCATCTGCAGTACAGCAAAGCACTGAGTCAGTGGTAGGATTCACATTTTTTTACTACTGGTTCTTTGGGTGTGGCTCGGGTGTGATTCAACCAGTGTAACAACCCGTTTGTTGAGCTCGTGCTTTGCGTGCACATGTGCACTTTGCGCGTGTGCAGAGGGTTTGCTACTGACCTTCTGCAATCCTGCAATCTCCCTGTATGTTAAACAGATGAAATGCGGCAATCCGCTGTGCCGTATGAAGCAGCCAAGCTTGAAAACCAGGAAATAAAGGTCAGAATAGAACCCAGGTGGGCAGGCCCAGTAGCTGATCATTGAAGCGAACTGGTTCACTCACAGATGATCTTCAGAGCTACTGGTTTGGCTGAACCGGTAGACTTGTCACCACTGCATTGAGTGTATACGTTGAATTGAAGCAGCCTGAATATGCAAAGATTTGTGTATTTTGAAAGCTCCTCATATACAACCTGTACATCCATCAGTGCAATGGTGTCTAAGTAGACAACACTGAACAATAAATATATCAGTAAGGCAGCTAATCTGTTGTTTTGGATTTTTTTCACACTTAGGTTTTTTAAAAACTTTTTTAAACAATCTCAATTTTCAATTCGGTTATGAAGACATCCGCAAATTTTTGTACTCTCATTTAAAAAATGTATAATGAAAACTGTCCCTGTGTGTACTTCGTTAGTTCTCTAGAACTGAATTTGGGAAGTAAAAGAATAATATCTGAATTGTAATTTCTGTTCCTCTTACATAAGCTTTTAATAAAATATCATATTTGGAACTCCTAAAATCAGGACTGACTTAAACAGTAGCAGAGACTACTCATAAAGTGTTGACCCTAGACATTAGTGATTTGTATGATTTAATTGAGTTTATTATTTCAGGTATAAGTGGAACTAGAAATATTATGAGATCTGTTGATAAAGATTTAATACCAAAAACTTGAAGAAATAGCAATTAACTTTGAAAATACTATACTAGTGCTTTGTTATGCATATTATAGAGCAACATTAATTTGTATTTCCTATCTGTTAAAAAGTACCGTATTTCCCCATGTATAAGCCACCCCTTTTTTCCAAAATTTTCAAGCCCAAAAAGTAGGGGGGTGGCATATACAAAGCAGGTACACTTTTTATACGTGAAAAATGCATAAAATAATAAAGTAGGAATAAACTGGTTTTCCAGCAGTATGCTATACTTTTTTGTAAAAATTGTACGTGATGATACGATTACGAGTGCGAGTACGCGATAGAAATGCATACGCTAGGCATTGGCCTGAATGCTTCGTTCCTACTCTCGTTCCGATGCGTAGATTGCTAGTGTCGCCCGCACTGCTTTCGGCGTCATGACCGAAGTTGTAGATCTAGACGTCGAATTTTGTTTCTTTGTAAATTTTCTTTCTTCATAACTTGTTTCTCTAATAAAATATTTTTTTCAAAACTTCACAGTCCAAAAATTGGGGGGGTGGCTTATACAAAGGGGGTGCTTATACATGGGGAAATACGGTATGTGTTAATCATATATATTATTAAACAATTTCCTTTTGAATAAAAACTCTTATTTCTTTCTTTCAGGTCCTTCAGTCTGGAAGACTGGGAGGAAGCCTCTGCACCCAGGGAAAAATGTTACCCTTTACTGGGGGGAAGGGTAAACCAGTAGGGAATACAGTACAATCCCAAGCCTACTGGGAGGGGCGGGAGGGAGGTGTTGCCGTCACTGTATTAAGCCGATGTTGGGAAATGTTTTAACATCTGGAGCTTTTGTGGGTGGAAATCTGTCTCCTGTTACAATTCTGCACTGGATGTGAAGATGCGCAAAAAAGTTTGTTCACAACAGCACATTCTGCAATATTATGGGGAATTGTACCAAAATGAAATTATATAATAGATCTATAGGGGATATGTAAAGAGAAAATACATTGTGTTCATGCGATAAAGGAAACAGAAGAATGGCAATTACAGACAGTTTAATGGTATAACAAGGGGTTTCTGCATTGTTTCATCTTGATGGGATTCCTAAGTATTGCATGTTGATGAAGAACTAAACAAATGAAGTTAGTACAGTTAAGGTGAAGCTTGCTCCCTGTATTAGGAGTAAGCACTTGCAGTATACAAATTTAAATAACCCCATAATGAAGTAATAAAGGCTGAAGCAAACAAATGAAGCAACCTGCAAGATGCCAAATGAGTCACTCCTTTTCATTTTTAGTGGGGGGAAAATGGGCATTTCAGAAGAAAGATTAATCTTTTTAATTTTCCATTTAAAGGGTAGTAGATATGATTTGATGGTTGTGCTTCATTAGATTTAATTTCTAGAGTCAGGCATAATTCTTAATGTGCAGTTTAAGATTCAGGCATGCATTTTGGGTCATAGTGATCAAGCATATTTTTAATGGGAAAGTTAGCATGCTTACATAAGGAGTGAGTGGTAAACATTACTTACCTTGCGCCAGTTTTGTGTTGCAGTTTACCAATTCGTGCGGTATAACCCTGCATTTAAAATTCCTTTAAAATTCTGTGGATTTTATTTTTATTAAGATATAAGTATAAAATACTGTAGTAACAATTAGGCCTCAAAATAATTTTTAGGATCTCTTAGGAATATGATTGATATTGTAATGTGTAACCTGCACAATGTGGAAAGCAGATATAGCTGTGCAAAGTATTGCCTCTGTGCTGTCAGTGTGATGTGCTTTCTGCATGGTTATACTATTAGTGATTTTTATCAAATCTTCTAAAATGAGTTATAAGGTAAAACCTGTTAAAGGTTACATAAATGTTAGTTGATGCCTAAAGACAATTGTAGAAAATTGATGACATGATTGCTACATTTCAGTGTTTATTCATGCCCAACATATTTTATTATTCTCTCCTCCACAAAGCATGATCTTAAGAGATGCATAAGTTAGTATATGTAAAGCAGGGTATCTACACTGTGTCGGCGCATGTTGGGGGCCCATTGTGTCCTAGAGAGACCACAGAAGGGTGCAGGTTAAAAGCTACAGAGTGAATGTTCGTTTGGATCCTTTTCATTTCATTTGTTTAGCTTTTCTGCTTCCCTTTTCTATTTGCTTGTATTTCTGTGAATAAATCCTTGTTAAGTTTACCTTTTACTTTTCTTTCCACGTGTATTTTCTTATGTACTGTGAATGTGAAAATCTAACTGGTACACTTGATTTTGTGTTACTATAAAAGTGAAAGTGTGATTAATTTAGACTGCATAAAAAGTATCCCATGATGATAAAGGAAAAATGGAAAGATAATAACTCTGCTGGTCAGAAATAAAGCCACACTTTTCCATTTTCCCTTAAGTGCTGCAAAATTAATCTGTGCAAAAAAAGAAAAGAAAAGCCATAACAACCGCCTTACATTTAGCTTCTCATCTTTACATTAAAAAAACATACTGGATAACCATTTTGTAGGGAATGAGTGTATGATTTTGATTCTTTTTAAGGTCTGTTGTATGATTTAGCCATTGCACTGAAGATCAACCTTGTATGAGTATGAATTTATGAAATCTTATTTCAGGCTTTTTTTAATGCATGGGAGCATGCACAAGTCCTATACATTCCTTTTTTTTCCTTTGTAAATTTCATTGGGGTCAAATATATTTGAAAATGATTTATTACAATGTGTCCTGTATAAACGTCTTATGAACAGGTTTATGCTACTATGCCATTAAAACCACTGGAATAAAATTGCATATAGTGATCTACTTTCAACTAACTTGTTGTATTGGAAGCCAGAACTTTCAGCTGACCTTTGCTCTAGCTTTTTCAATCAATGAAGTAGATACGAATTCCGAATAAAGTAAATCTTAACATTTATTAAGGCCAGAACTTGCCTTTTGGCAAGAGTTTACATTTCTGTAAGGAATTCTCAAAGATAAATTTTTATTTATTTTGGCCCTTCTGTTGTTGAATTTGATAGTTGCTGATAACATTAAAGATTAGCACATAGAAGCTACTTATATATAGAGATAATTTTATTACATGGGTTAATATAAAGGGATGTGACTGTTCTATTGTAATTTAGCCGATCTCACAGAAAAGTAGCAAAGCAATACTGCAGTTAGAATTAACAAATTAAGGCTTCATAGCGAACAGTATTCATAATGAATAAAATTACAATATACTTGCAGAAGCTGCTTTTGGTATAGAATTTGTGGTAAGGAGAATTCTAATACAACACTAAATTGTAAATCAAATATATTGCATCATGGGATATATAAAACATAATTCTTTTTGTGTATTTTTGACAGTTTTGAATGTTAATTGAATGTTGTTCTGTAGAATTGTATGTTTGTCTTTGTTACATTCCAGTGTTCTCTGCCTCTTGGCATGCTACAGGCACGGCTTACTAAATCTGCTCCTTACACAGTGAATTAAGTGCTTAGTGTGCTAAACTACAGAAATAGCCGCTGCTAAATGATGTAGATTTTCTACTTGAATATTTTTGTTGTAGGAACCTCAGGAGGTCAGTGTTTACTGTTTTATATATGGCTTTGTTTTCGTGTTGAAGGCCCCTTTGCTTTTTGAAGGATTCTAACAATGAACAAAGCTGCTGATCAACCTAAGTTGGTAACAGAAAGTATATTTAAAAATATATATAAATAAAAGTATCTCCTTTACACTTTAACTTGACTAATGTAGAGTTTTTGATTGTTAAATTTGTGACTATTAAGGGAAAAAGTCTTATCTAACATCTTTGTTGCATTTCTTTAAATTGAAGGGGAATGGATAACATTTTGTAAGGTTTTTATCTTATTTTTTTCTAAGCTGGTATGTAGAAATCAGGTCTTTGATCTAGATTTCAGTGTTTAATGGTATTTAATTTGAAGTACTATACATTTCAGAGGATTCATTTCCAAGTAAGTATGCTTAGGACTGTAGTCTAGGTTTATTGCCGTGCTGAAGACGAAGTCATGGTAACTTTCATAAAATTCATAGATTTTTTTAAGTAATGTTACTTTTGTAATAAACAATATTGACACTGTGATAATTCTTTTTCTTTAGCATTGGCATTGAAGTATTTAAGCTACATAAATACTGTGTAATTTAGATTTATACTATTGTAAGAGGATTTCCAAAGCTGAAATTTCTGTTATTTAGATAAGAAATATTCATACTAGTTTTTTCTCAGGTGAATAATCTTGTACCCTTTTGTTTAGATAAGAGGCTTATTTCATAAGAGTACCAATTTGTTGTTCATATAGAACTGCCTAATGTCTTAAACTTTCATATCTGAATTGAGTTACTATGGGACAGCAATTACTTATTTTATTCATATTGAATGAATTAACAAGGATGTATAACATTCTTTTTAAGAGATGAATGCATCTGTATGAATAGTACCCAATAATCACCGTAAAATAGACTTTATATTGTGCAGTGCAAAGTTATGTTCCTGTTGTCAAAAAAAAAAGAGATTATAACTTGGAATATGTTCATATCGAAGTAGCCTAGGCTTTTTTGGCATAATGAATACCTAAAGGATAAACATGAAAATTATCATTTTTTTCTGATATAAACTACTATATGCCAAGCAGTAATTTCTTAAATTAACATTGCTGTTTGTATGTGAATGATGTACTGTGGTTAGCATTTGGCTCTTCAGGATATTTTGATTTTGAGGTGATTAGATTCACAACTTGACATTTTAATACAGTTTAATACTGCACAGAAATTTCTGATGTTCTTAATTTAAAATGTCTGCAATTTAAAGCTATACTCTTTATACTTGCTTGTCAAATTAAATCAGTGTTTAGGCTGTCCTGACTGAAATTTTAATATGGGCATATACAGTGCAGTTTCATCACTAAAAGACTAAGTGAAAACGTAACAGAGAAATTTTAATGGTTATATTAAAGTAATTGTTTGATCTTATTTTGCTGGATAGATGCACTTTTAAACAAGGTAGTTAAACTTCAAATTAATTGTAGCGTTGATGATATGGTATTTTCCTAACTTTCCCCACCTAATAACTTGATTCTTGTGTGACAGTTCATTTTAGAATCAGTACTACTTTTGTATGTACAATTAAAACATTTTGGATGGCACATTTTTGTCATCTTTCTTCTAAAGATACTATACTTTTTCTCCTAACTAACTTTGTCATACGGTTGTTTATTTGAATTAGATTACTAACAATAGTTAAAATAATAAAGTAGTCAGATCTTTCTGCTGACAACTTAGGTTGTACGAGTTTGCTTGAAAGCATTAAATTGGATGTGTTTTCCATATGTGTTAGAATATTCCCTTCAAACATATCCTTCAGCAACTTCTCAAACTTTATTAAGTTGATTTTTCTTGTCTGCCTCTGCCAACAAAGCTTCATTTTAAACACAATATGGTTTCAATTTTTGATAAGCTGCTGAATTCTAAACAATTTCGGGGCCACCAAATATTTTGGATCATGCAGAGAATATATATTGTAATGTAGTAATTTTGTATTTACATTTGTATGATGTGATAATAGATGTGAATGTTAATCACTGCTTAACTATGTTAATAAAATTTGTTTAAATAGATGCTGCACTCTGATTCTTAATGAAAAGAGAAGGAGCCATTGAAAACTGATTTGTTTTAATTCATTTATGTAGCTTCCAGTTTATCCTGATATTTGGGAAGTTATTACTGGCTACAGGAAAAAACATGTAGATTTAATTAACATAGAATCACTTGTTTATATATTTGTGTATATATATATATATATATATATACACATTGCTTTTTCTTTGGCTTTAGCAGCAAATAGACAAAACCAATTAGGTTTTGAGATATGCCTCTTTTACACAGTTTAATATGAATTGAATTTCTATTTTAGGATAGAACAGTTATATTCCAACTGAATATTAAATTATTACATTAATATATTTATTTATATTTGTAACATAAATGTTGCCATGATTTAATACTTGGCATCAAGACAGTGGCATTTGTTGGATGATAAGTGACTTCAAGGAAATCTATTCATTGGGTTTTAGTCATAGTTAAATTTAATTTACTCCTTGAAAAATAAAAGCTTTAGGATAACTAAGGAAGAATCACACATTTATTGTCTTAAATAACAAAATATAAACTTAAAAAAACAGCACAAGCATTTAAAGAATTCTGAGCTATAAAAGAAGGGGGAGAATTTCCAAAGTTCGGCTTTCCACAGATCTCTAAAAGCATTTCAAAAAGGTTCAATTTCTAGAATAAATTGGAATTTATAAAGAGCTCTACACAGATAGCATATCCGTTTTGGCACTTCCTAAGGTAACATGATCCAAGTCACGTACAGCTGCACAGATCTTACAACTAGCATCTGAGTTTGAATCTGAGAAATACATTGGCAATATTGAACATAACCTGATCTTACTGATTATCAAACTATTAAGGGTTCCTAGCCTCATAAATATACAAAATACACTGCAATAATATATAATTTTTATATACTATCTCACCTAAGTAACTGAGTGGTTCACAGCACTTTAAAAAATTGTAAAACCTTCAATATTACTTTAAAACTAAAATAACTACGATCAGTGGCAAAGTCCATCTTTGTGTCAAATTCAGCACAGCTATTGCAAAACCACCATTGCCTGACCCCCAAGAACAATGGCAGAGCCTTGTCTTCAGTGGCTTCCTAAAGTCATAAAAGGGTCAGAACCATTCTAGGATCTGGAGGAATGATGTTCCAAGCGGTGTATGCAACCTGGGTCCTGCCAGATAAACCCCTTTTAATAGATGAGATCTGTAACATGCCTTTCCTGAATACTTTGATCAATACCAAAAAAAATTTCCAGAGTACCTTAAATAGCAATCTTTACAAGACCCCATGGTCTTGGTTGATGAATAGATAGATTATTTAGGAATATATAAGGCCAAATATTTTTAATAGGTGGAATGGAATCTGAAACAGGCATGCATCCAGGAATATTGGGATAATATGAAGTCTAGCTTGCAAAACCCATTTAGATGGAAATTGGTGGATATATAAAAGAAACATTTTGTCATTTGTAATTTATTTACAAATGAAAAATTATTAGAGATGCTCAAAGTACATGCAAGTGAAAATCAATAGCCACTTAGTATATCATGTATTTTTATATTGTTTCAA